CGAAGACGTGGAGTTATTCCTGACTAGGATTGAGGAAGGTCGATCCTTCCTACCTATCCCTGATGATTTACTCCTCAGAGGCATTCCGTTTCTTCTGTCCGGTTCTGCGTTAACCTGGTATCGGGGTCATCTCCCTGAATTCCGAATTTGGGAGCAAGTTCGAGAAATTTTCCAAACCACGTTTACGGATCCTGATTACCAAACGGCAATCCGCGAAGAACTCGCGCTCCACACTCAAGCAGAAGATGAGTCGGTCAATAATTATTTCGCATGTATCCGTGGGTACTATACGCGTATTGTACCTGCGGTTAGTGAGTTGGATCAAGTGGTCCAAACCCACCGCAAACTCCTTCCCAATCTCCAGGTCGGGGTCGCACTTCGTGACAATATGATCATGGATGATCTGGAGAAGGCTGTTAAGCGCCTTGGGAAAATTTATGAGAAGGCTGCTGATAGGCGTCCGCCTCCAAGGCCGGAACATTCGATATGCCCAAGCCTGGCTTATCGCCCTGCTCGCCCACAGCGCTCACCAGCGCGTCCTCCTTTCCGTCGACCTTCTGTGTCGTTCAGGACTCCATCCGCTCGAGCGGTTTCCTTCGAAGAGGAAGGTGTAGATGAGTACGAAGGGGATTCCCAGGAGCTCTATGAGGAAGAGTACCTTGCGGTTGACGCGGCCCGTGGGCCTTCCTCCCTTCCCCCTCGGGTCACCAATAGAAATCCAGCCAAACCGTTGGCCTGGCAGGGCAATACTCAAGCCCGACTCCGTACACGAGAAAGGCGTGCTCGCAGTCCAGCCCCTTCCGCATCAGGACCAGCTGGTCCTCCTGCTGGTATCACTCCGACTCCCCCAGCAGCTCTCGCTGCGGGTGGCCCCGTTGATACTCCTCCACTCCAGCAGCCTAGTCCAAGTAACTTGGTATGTTGGAATTGCAGTGGCGTAGGGCACCGTCATAGGGAATGTCCTGAGCCACGTAGGATCTTCTGTTATGGATGCCGCAAATCGGGAGTAACCACTCTTAACTGCCCCTTCTGTAACTCCGGTCAACCGGGAAACGGGCACAGAGGCGCGTAAGTCCGGTACACGCTCCTCCACGGTCACCCGTCCCTAAGCCGGCCGCTCATACCTGTGCTGCATGTATCCTTTCTGCACAGCAGCAATTAGGCGAGGAGGAACCCTCGATTCCACGACTTCCACCCGTGGACCTTACCAAGGTGGATTCCGATCGGCGCTCCTTATTGAAACCGGAACCTATGCCCCCAAACGATGTGTTGGTATATGCGGTTTCGGATAACGCCCCTTTGGCTTTCAACGTCGATATCATTATCGGTGGCCTTAGAGTCCGAGCGCTAGTAGATTCGGGGACTACTAGGTCATTCGCTGGTATGGCTGGTATCCTTCTGTTTGAGAAGGCTAAAATCCCGTTACTGGGCATCCCGGAGAAACGAGTAATCACTGCGGGGGCAAAATCAAAATCGTCCGACATACGGCTGCATGCATCGTGGACCTTGAAGGGCGTAATACTCCACTTAACGCGTTCATCATGCCTTCGTTATCCGAGGACTTCATCATTGGAATGGACTTCCTTGTGTCGGCAAGAATCGTAATCGATTTCTTTGACCAAACTTGGTATTACCGGGATAAACCGGATGAACGATTCCGATTCACTCCTGTGGATCAGGTTCAGCATCTCACTATGTGCTGCGGGTTACGTACCGTTGAGAAATCCCAGGAGCAACAGCTCCAGGAGTTCCTCGATAGGATCCTCCCGAAAAAGGAGGCTAAGCTGGGAGTTACGACTCTCACGTCCCATCGTATTGATGTTAATGGTCATCCTCCTATCCGGCAACGGCCTTACCATACGACTCCTGCCATACGGGAGATCATGTGGAAGGAGGTTAAAGAAATGTTAGATAACGCAGTTATCGTTCCATCTCAAAGCGATTGGTGTAATCGTGATTGTCAAAAAGCCTAACGGGAAATACCGTTTTTGCATCGACTTTCGGAAAGTGAATGCAATCACCAAGAAAGACGCCTATCCTATTCCGAACATGACCGGCATCCTGGACGAATTACGCCAGGCCCATTATATTACCACACTTGACCTTAGTCAAGCGTACTTCCAGATCCCTCTGGATCCCGACTCCAGGGAAATTACCGCGTTCGTGGTCCCTGGCCGCGGCTCCTATCATTTTCTCCGTATGCCATACGGCTTAACAAACGCTCCCGCGACATTCCAACGTCTTTTGGATCGATTGATAGGTCAAGATATGTACCCAAAAGTCTTTGTGTACCTCGATGATATTATCATCGTCTCNACAGGGAAATTACCGCGTTCGTGGTCCCTGGGCGCGGCTCCTATCATTTTCTCCGTATGCCATACGGCTTAACAAACGCTCCCGCGACATTCCAACGTCTTTTGGATCGATTGATAGGTCAAGATATGTACCCAAAAGTCTTTGTGTACCTCGATGATATTATCATCGTCTCCGAGTCCTTCGAGGAACATCTCGAATTACTCGGCAAAGTTCTTGAGCGAATCAAGAACGCCGGTCTTACGATCAATCGCGAAAAGAGCGAATTCTGTTGCTCCCAGGTAAAATACCTGGGTTTCATCGTCAACAGCTCCGGTCTCCAAGTAGACCCGGACAAAATCGCCCCTGTGATAGAGTTCCCACAGCCTCGGAACTTGAAGCAGTTAAGGCGCTTCCTCGGTATGGCCTCCTGGTACCGTAGGTTTATTCCTCAGTTCGCTACCATAGCGGAACCATTGACTCGTCTGACTCGGAAGAATCAGTCGTGGGAATGGGCTGAGGCCCAAGATTTCGCCTTCACCACACTAAAGGTGCATCTAACGTCTTCACCGACGTTAGCCTGTCCTGACTTTGGGCTACCTTTCTCCCTACAGACTGATGCGAGTACTGTAGGGTTAGGGGCTGTTCTTACCCAGGTTATCAATGGGGAAGAACGAGTAATCGCCTACGCGAGTAGAGCGCTCACTTCCGCTGAGAAGAAATATACAGTCACTGAACTGGAATGTCTCGCGGTTATTTGGTCTATTTCCAAATTCCGATGTTACCTGGAAGGCTACTCCTTCACGGTAATTACGGATCACAGTAGTTTACGTTGGCTACATAACCTCCGCAATCCTACCGGTAGGCTAGCTCGATGGGCCCTTGGCCTCCTCGAGTATGATTTTAATATTATCCATCGGAAGGGTGCTCTGCACCATGTTCCTGATGCGTTATCCCGCGCTCCCGAGGGAGAAAGCGAGGACTGTGAAACGATTGAAGTTGCACAAATTTCCACCGACAAGTGGTACTCACGCAAGTAACGTAACGTACAGCGTGCTTCAGATTTCTTTCCGGACTGGAAAATTGAGGACGGACGGTTGTACACCCACCGACCCTCCGACTTCGTTACGCTAGAGATGGTGGATCTCGATGCGTGGAAGTTGGTACTTCCTCGCGAACTACGTTCGCAGGCCATGGCTCAGTGTCATGAACTTCCCCAAGCGGGTCATTTAGGGGTTGATAAAACATATCGTCGCCTCTATGTGTTGTACTACTGGCCGAACATGTTTCGCGATGTAGTTTCGTTCGTCAGCCGTTGTGATACCTGTCAACGCTGCAAAGTAGAAAATGCTTTGCCGCGGGGTCACATGGGCCGACGCGTAGTCCAGGGTCCTTGGACCACCGTGGCTGCCGACATCGTTGGCTCTATCACTCCGAGTAAAACCGGCTATTCCTACATACTCGTGTTACACGATCTGTTCACGAAGTGGGTAGAGATCATTCCTCTCCGGCGTGCCACTGGCAAGGCGATTCGGGAGCAGGTAGAAAACGTCATCATTTCTCGCTGGGGGACACCCCGCGTCCTATTCACCGATAACGGAACGGAGTTCGTAAATCGGGAGATTCAAGCCCTGGCGGCCCACACGGGGTTGAAACATGAAACATCCCCGCCGTACCACCCCCAGGCAAATCCCGTTGAGAGGGTCAATCGCGTTCTCAAAATGATGTTGCGAGCCTTCATGGAGGGCGACCACAGAACTTGGGACGCGCACTTACATGAATTCCGTTTTGCATTCAATATGGCGGAACATAGTTCCCTTCAAACAACTCCGGCTTTTGCAAATTTTGGCCGGCATCCTTTTGCTGTGGTTTCCCTTCGACGACAACTCGAGGGAGACGTCGAGGTCATCCCTGGCGAACCCCTGGAATGGGTAAGTCGGATGCAAAGGCTGGAACTCCTCCGTAAGACCCTCATCCACGACTTGCGGGAATCGTCTGACAAACAGGCGCACCACTATAATCTCCGTCGTCGAGACGTAGAGTTCAAGGAAGGTGACNACTTGGGACGCGCACTTACATGAATTCCGTTTTGCATTCAATATGGCGGAACATAGTTCCCTTCAAACAACTCCGGCTTTTGCAAATTTTGGCCGGCATCCTTTTGCTGTGGTTTCCCTTCGACGACAACTCGAGGGAGACGTCGAGGTCATCCCTGGCGAACCCCTGGAATGGGTAAGTCGGATGCAAAGGCTGGAGCTCCTCCGTAAGACCCTCATCCACGACTTGCGGGAATCGTCTGACAAACAGGCGCACCACTATAATCTCCGTCGTCGAGACGTAGAGTTCAAGGAAGGTGACCTCGTCATGCGTCGATCTCACCCCTTGTCTAATGCCGCTAAGCGTTTGTCTGCGGCGTTAGTCCATCCCTTCGAAGGGTCGTTTATTGTCCAGAAGAAGATCTCACGAGTACGATACCGGCTCGTTGACTTCGCTGGTAACGATCAGGGTGAATCGTCGATACAAGACCTAAAACCGTATCGACCTTCTCTAGCCGACCAATAGCTAGAGCCGTTAGGACCTTTCCGTGATCCCATCACGGTCAAATCCATACATTGGAATCCTCCTCCGCCTGATCGGCGGCTGACCGACACCTCCCCTTGAGGGATTTACGTTGTAATTATTCCAACTTTGGGTGGCCATCCTCCCGAATGAACTCTCCGTGCCCTCTCAATTTCAGAATCCAGAGCTGAGTCAGGCCGTCCACCATCCAGAGGTTGTGGATATCACAGAGAGTCCACCAAACTCGCCTCCAGCCCAGAGACGCAATCCACCCTTGAGGGAATCCCATGGAGTCAAGGCGGAGGAAGCCCCAACCACTGAGCCTAGTGGCCACCAGAGAGCCTCCCAGGAAGAACAGGCTTTCGTAGCAGCCCTCTGGCCAAATGGAGTACCTCCGGAATTAGCTGATTTCGAGTTTCCGAATCTCGAACGAGATCTCCAGACTATCTCTCCTCCTAGGAGCCCATACTATCCGGAGACTGAACCAGTCTCTCGGTCACCCACTCCGGTAACTCCGGTCGCCCAAACAGGAGAGGCGCACTCCGAGGCCCCTAAACCGGTAGCCCCGGCCTTGGATCCGGAGGCTAAACAATTCGCCATCCAGCCCGTAGTCATGCTGGAAAGACTCCAGCTACCACCGCCCGCTCCACACATCCAAGATTACTGGGAACCCCTCGGCCCCTGGTTATCCGAAGTGTGGGAAGTTGAGAGGAAGAAGGAGGGCTTCCTAAGAGCCCTGCAGACCTGCAGTCTCCAGCCACTGCACCACTTCGATCAGCTTCGGTATGTGATCCCACCGCTGCCAACTCCAGTAGAAGGAGCCCAGCCCCCAGAGTTGGCTAACCCTCAGGACCCCGAGATTGCCGACGACGCCCTCGCTGACGGCCCCGTGGCGCGATCCCCCACAGAGGAAGCCCCGATTCCTCCTTCCTCTGGATCTCCGGGAACGGTCGTCCTCTCACGCAGTTCACGAGGTCCTTTCGCAGTTCGGCCACCTCTTCAGACTCCTCTTCCTCCGCATCATCCTCGACTTCCGGCTCTTCGAGCTCGGTGAGCAGTTGCTCAGAACCTGACGAAGGAGATCCGGGTTATAGCACTGGCAAACCGACGGCAGCAGCCGCGGCTCAAACTTCCATGGAGGTGGACGGTTCTCCACACGAAACCTCCCGAGGCCCTTTAAGTGACATCCTGCAAATCGACTTACAAGCCGACGAGCAGGCATCCCTAGCGGGATCGAGCGTGAGGCAAACCAACAACTCGCCTATTCCACCTTATACCAAGTCCGACGCAGGGGAAACCATGCCACCCACTTCTCCAGTGAACCAACTCACTGGCCCAACACCCTCCGCCTCTGGGTCGGCTCCACCCAGTTCTCCAGTGATCCAACTCACTGGCCCAACACCTTCCACCTCCGGGTCGGCTTCGAATACGCTTCCAGTGACCTCAGTCGCTGGCCAAGGTACAGTGGGACCTAGCACGCGAGTCGTCCAGGCGTCGCCAGCCGCCGCCACCATATCAACACCTCTGTTGGCTGACCGGGACGACATCAGAAGGCTGCCAGAAGATTCTCCAAGGGGCGACTCTCTAAAGGGCGATATCAAAAGGGGCCCCAAGAAGAAGAGGATCTGGTGTTTCGACTGTCGCAGGCACGGACATCCACCAAGCGACTGCCCGAATCCCACCGGAGAAGCCTTCTGCGGGAAATGCCCCTACAGGGTCGCCAAGAACCGACCCTGCCCCACACATAAAACCGACTTGGCTGGGGCCGCCATGAGTCGATCCGCCAACAGGCCGGCCGTAAGGTCGGAGGTTTTCAAGGTATCGCCGGCCCTTGAATCCCCAACCGTTACCTCNCGCCATGAGTCGATCCGCCAAGAGGCCGGCCGTAAGGTCGGAGGTTTTCAGGGTATCGCCGGCCCTTGAATTCCCAACCGTTACCTCGTCGAGGGAGTCTTCTTCACGAGACGATCAGCGGCTGTACACTCGTCGATCCAAGCCTTCTCGATCTGGAGGGACTTCTGTGTCGGTTGAAGTTCCCTACAGCTCGCAAAGTTCCAGGACATCGAGACCCGACTATTGTAGTTCTCCGGTAGGGTCCCAACCTTCCTACTACTAGGATTACCGAAATCGGGTCAACACGATCACTTCTGGCGAATATCAGGAGCGGCATTCCGAGAGGACGCTACGTCAGGTTCCAACATCGTATTGGACTCCTCCTGACTCGGAGTTCCCACTACTAAATTCCCATTATGGGGACTCTCCAGGCTCAGCCTCGGTAAATCCCAGGGAGTATCAATTCCCTCGGGCGAATTCCCCACTGTCCGCTCGGGACAGAGAGGGCCAGGGTTACCCTGCGGACTCAGCTGTCCATTCGGCCAGGGCACCCGGAGCACGAGCAGCCCCTATCCTCGTGGCCGGACTCACACTGCCAGCAGAGACAGTGGCAGCCATCACAGAGCTACTAATGGGTAGGAGCCCATCCGCCGCACCCGTTCCAGACCCCGTCTGGCCTCATGATGACCATCCAGGACCTTCAAACTCCTGGAGATCCAGGTATCCTCCGCGCTAAAAAAAGTGACGGCACCAGAAGTAGGGCACACAAGTACTTGACCCAAGAGCGCAGTCACAGAAATCAATCTTTTTTATTTTTTTCCTTTCACCAAATAAACTACCTTTTGTTTTGTTACACATTCGACACACCCATACTCCAATAAGGCAGGTAGTAAATGCCACACATATATATTCACGTTCTTTTTTTTTGGGCTTCAACACCAAAGTATCTAACTTTTATAACTTTTTTTTTGTTACTCATCTTTTCCGTTGGGTTCTTCTTTTTGTTTTATTTACATATTTAATCTAACTCCCTCAACCTGTTAGGAGGGTGGCCTGTGATAGTACTCAATGTAAGCCTAGAAGCCGAATCGGCGTTAGTTTTTGTTACGATTTTTGAATACATTAACCCAGCAGAAACCGGTTCTCGTTTAAGAGTAAATTTAAACTTCCTAAATTCTCCCGTATCCTCATCTCAGGGCATGGGTCGACTTAAGATTTAGTTAGCAATAAGTATTCCCGAGTCAACGGGGAGGAACCACGGAGAACATCCGCACCGGCCGCAGGTCAAATGTCGGAGGAAGACTCGGATAACAACCGTCAAAGGAGGGGAGTGAAACGAACATGTGGGCATGTTCGTTAGGATACGATGCTGCCATAAAAACAACTAACCCCCCGTGACATAGGAAGGCGACCCGTGAGTAAAAGGTAGCGAGAGAGAGCGTTCCACTTTTCCACCCCGGGGTGGTCAGAAGTCCAATCCTCGTGACGACCATGAGGTTTGGGGGTTTCCACGCCATGGTGTGGCTAAACTTGTGTCTTAATTCCATAGTATTTAGTTTAATCTCAAGACCGGCATAATTACGCGTTTTTGAGGGCCCATGGGATTATCGCGAAGAAGGGCGAAGGTAATAGACATTTTTGACCCCCATACGAAAATGTCACGTTACAAGCTCGCATACCTTTCCCCCCAATTCTCGGAATTCTCGAGTATTTAGGGATTAGCGTGTATTTCTACTCTCCCCAAATGTTTATTTCGGGATATTTGAGGTATTTATCGGTGATATTAATTTCTTCGAATCTTTTGTTAGATTAGACTAATTCCTATCAGAGTGCGGAATTAATATTATGATTATTATTATTATCAGTATTGTTAGCTATTAATTGTAGATTTTTTCCTTTTTTTTTATACATATATATTTTTTTGAGAGAATTGTAATGTCTTTTTTTGAAAAATTGGTGATTGACTAATTTCAATAGTGAAACAAGTAAGGACAATACCGATTTCTTCTCTTTTTTTGTAGTTTTAACCACCCAATACCCGTCTCCACCTGAAATCCACCCCTCTCTCCACAACCTAGTACACTGAGCGAACCAGGGACCGCTACCTTTCCCAAAATTCTAGTTTCCTCCTTTTTTTTTGTACGTTTTAGTTTTTCGACTTAGTAGAGTTGATTTTGTGGATTCGTCCGGTTTGGTAATTCCGGTTAAAAATTATCTGTCGCCCATGGATTTTTTTTTGCATTTTTTTGCACTTGGGGTGTTCTTCGCCATCGTATAGATACACTTATCCAAATATAGGCACTCTAATTCCTAAGATAGGCACTGTACTGGCACTAGTTCTGGTGAGGTCAAGGGCTAAGGCCGAACTGCCGAACTCACGAGCGTCTCGAGACACCTCAGAGCACGGAATNTCGCCCATGGATTTTTTTTTGCATTTTTTTGCACTTGGGGTGTTCTTCGCCATCGTATAGATACACTTATCCAAATATAGGCACTCTAATTCCTAAGATAGGCACTGTACTGGCACTAGTTCTGGTGAGGTCAAGGGCTAAGGCCGAACTGCCGAACTCACGAGCGTCTCGAGACACCTCAGAGCACGGAATTCACCGCTCAATCACCCGAATTTTGATTGGTGCGGACACGCCCCTCGAAGGTGCGAATCTAACGACAATTAATCGCGACTCTCACGACCTGGCGCGATTATTCAAATCTCACTTAACTCTTCTCTAATCACCTAAAACAAAACTAGTTCCTTTTTATTAATTATTACACGAGACTAGGCCGAACTGATTGTCGTTCGGATAATTACGAAGGGTTTTTGGCGCTTCCCACGGAGCGGATCTCCGGGATTTTCGGGGTTAAAAGACAAGTTACCGGCACTTGTTATAACTTCACTACTAATTCCTGCTCAACTCCTTTCTCTCATCAAAAACCCAAAGGCAACCTGGCAATTCGTTGGAGACGATGGTTGCACTCGCTCCGAACGACCTTCCACCCAAAACAAAAACGTAACCAATTAACCTCTGAAAATCCAACGAAATTGGAGCGCCGGCATTTCAGCCGGACCTATTCGATTACCCGCAAGATTAACAATAGGGTGAACCCCATAAAAAGAACCGGATGACTCTATAATTTTGGCCCTTCTTCACGATAATTTCCCTGGGCCCTCAAAGACGCGTAATTACTAATCTTTACTAATAAACGGAACCGATAACTCTAACCGGAAATAAGCCACTCGGAAGTGGATAAGGGACTCTCACTCTCTCGCTCTTGGATTNCGAACATCCCCACATGTTCGTTACACTCCCCTCCTTTGACCGTTGGTATCCGTGTTCGCCTCATCGTTGTTGATCTGTTGTCGGCGTGGATGTTCATTGTCGGACGTTTCACCAAGATTTGGATGCTTATATTTAACAAAACTTAACCTCGAACCCACGACCTGAGAGGTAGCGGGAGGATTCGAAGGACTAGACTTCATTGCTGGTCCGTACTCTATTTATTACGATAACAAAAAAACTAGTGACTTCGACCTGGGTCTTACAATACATTGCCCTGGATCTCCCTCCTAACATCTTGAGGGGAGGAAAAAAAAAGAGAGAAGAGATACAAAAAAAAAACGAAATAATAGGGGAATAGCCCCATTAATGTGAAAAAAAACTGAACTAAATTGTTGCATTTCGCTTATCAGAAAAAAAAAATAAATGACTGTGATGTCGACAAAATAGTGGACTCGGTCCGGAATGCGACAAAAGGAATATAAAAGAAAATTGACGGATTAATACTCGTTTACAAAAACCTAAATTATAAATCGTCTTCAGGGGCTTACTCCTGGAGGACGCCCAAGTCATGTACTGCCGTACTTTTTTTTTTTTTGAATTGGCCATCACTTGTTTAGTGTGGAGGATACCTGGTACTCCAGGATTTGTTGGACCTGTGATGGTCGCCCGGTGGCCGAGTTGGCTCGGGTGAGTGTCTTGGTGGATTGTCCCGTCCCATGATGATATCGGTGATGGCTGCTACGGCCTCAGGTGGGAGAGTCACTCCTGCTGTAGGTATGGGGGGCTGTGAGGCCCGTGATGATGTCGCTGGGTAGAACGACGCATAGTCCGTAGTCTCTTGGCGTGTCAGGGGTGAGGTAGCCCTGGGAGGTGTATACTCCCGGGGAGGTGATGATCGGCCGCTGGTGAAGCGGAAGGGTTAGGTATTAATATCTAGCCGTGAAACGGTCACGGAGACAGCGTTTGTTATCACGCTGAGTCGGGCAGCGATGGGCGATACGGTTTCAAATCCTGTATCGCCGACTCCCCTAGCAACAGGCGACTGTTGCTGCCCAAAACTCTCGACAAATCGCCGCTTGGTTTGTTACCAAGGGAAAACCGAGGCAAATAAAATTCCTTCTTATTTGTCTCGGATTAAACCTACCCGATGACATCATTGTGATGTCACGTTATCCTCAATCTCAACCATCTCTCTCACTCCCATGAAAATAAGTCGGCTTGGTAACAGGCGAAAATTGAAATTTCAAGACAAAAGGAACGGAGCAATAGGACTCGAGAAAAATAAAATTTCAATATGATGAGATCATCACGAAATCGAAAACTAAGAGAGAAATAAGAATTAAGTCGTAATCCCGAAAAACAAAATTCCGGCACGATGAGATCATCACGGGATCGAAAAATACAAGAGAAATGGAATTAAGTCGCAATTTCGAAGCCTCATCTTGAGTGGGGTCAAATGAAACCCGATACAACAAAATCCCAAAAACTCTCAAATTCGCAAAAGTTCAAAACCAAAAAAAAGATTTCTTAAAGAAACGCAAAAATTTTAACTAACCAAAAAAATTTTTGCACCCAATAACCTCGGAGCCCCACGTCGGGCGCCACTTGTAACTCATGTAACGAATATGTGGGGATGTTTGTTAGGACACGATGCTGCCATAAGAACAACTAACCCCCCGTGACATAGGAAGGCGACCCGTGAGTAAAAGGTAGCGAGAGAGAGCGTTCCACTTTTCCACCCCGGGGTGGTCAGAAGTCCAATCCTCGTGACGACCATGAGGTTTGGGGGTTTCCACGCCATGGTGTGGCTAA